GCCTTATTTTTGCATTAAAAATTTACGGAAGTATAATGAATTTTTTGTGTTTAAGAGGACAAAGTTTATGTATATTTTTTTGTGTTCTTCAATAGTACCTGGTAATTTAAAGTGTATTTTCAATGGTTAATTAGGATATATTCCTTTTAATTACACAATAAGAACATATTGATTGAAATTAAGGTCATTTAAGTAAACTTCAAATGATGCTGAGTATGCACACCAGTGTACTCGGGTATACCCTAGGTATACCCGGGTTTAACCCGGGTTATACCTGGGTTTAACCCAAGATATACCCGGGTTTAACCCAGGATAATCAAGGGTTAAACCCAGGATATACCCGGGTATAACCCAGGATATACCTGGGTATTACCCAGGTATAATCAAGGATATATCTGGGTTTAACCCATGATAAACCCGAGTAATACCCAAGATATACAGGGTTAGGGTTAGGGTTAGGGTTAGGGTATAGGCAAAAAGCGAAGATGCACTATCTAGGTCATGCACTATCTAGGTCAAATGAAAGTGAAAGTGAAAGTCATGGATAGAAGTCAAAGTAAAGGAAAGAGTGGAATTTTCCGAAGCTCATAACTCTCTTATTTATTATCGGATTTAGACAAGTTTGGTGTCGTTGGAAAGCTAAGAAAACGGACAATAAGACGATGAGAGAGTTCTTAAAGTGCAGGTAGCCAGAAAGGGTGAAAACATGGGTTGTAATTAAAACCAAAGATTGTACTTAAAAAGTAACAGAAAACAAATTAAGAACGACTTAAGTCAATTTGGACATGTCGCGACACCAGACCTGTCCTTATTTTTGTCGATTGCGTATCGAATAGAAATCTGTTGCTTTATATTGGCACGGTTAACTTAGACGAAGGAAAAGAAAGCCTAATTTCACTTTATTTCTTGTATTTTTAAGAAATACAGGAAAAATGTACATTTAATGGGACCTAGAAAAATTCACCTAAAATGCTATTTAACTCTGAGCAGAGCTCCAATATTTGTTTGATTTTTGGATTATTCCTGTGTAATGAAGATTATTTATGTTTTTCTGTTTTATCAAATACAAAATGATTTATAAGGAGAAATAAATAGCCAAAAAATGCAAATAGCTTATGTAAAATATTGCTAAATTTGTGTCTCGCTAAAGATTCCACGTGTATGTTAATTTTACATTATATACTACTTCAATTTCGCAACAGTAATATTCATTTTTAAATAATATCTTAATAACCTAACGATGAAGTATTTTGCCTACCTTTTTCACGTCTTCTTTTTTCCACTGTCTGTGAAACTATGCGCTTACCCTATTCAAAGTCGGCGCGCGCTCAAAGTGTTGACCTAAGCATTTCACACCTGTTGCGGATGGCATCCTATACACAAAGCCTGCGAGTGCGTCTACAGCAGACCACGCAATACACAGCGAAAGCTTTATGTGATGAAATAATTAGTGGACTGCACTAGCTTTTAACCCGCGCTGATGTCTTGATAATTTAATGTACAAAGATTAAAGTGGATTTTTTCATCTCTCTGAGTTGTCTTTTCTTGTCATGTCATGAATAGAAGTAACAGTAAAGGAAATTGAAACACCAAATTTATGTCAGTAATAGACCTCGATAGGGACTCCTAGAAGCCACAAAGAGTAAGCAAAAATAGTTTCTCTCTCTTAAGATATGAAAGACTAAAGATGAGGAAAATGTACCAAAGTCTGGGTTAGATATTATGTGATAGTAAATTACCTGAATGATCTCTACAATAAGGGTTTACTCTGTGTGACAATTTGAACTTCTTGCTTCTGGAGAGAATTGTTATGATAATTAATTATATTAAAAATCAATTACAATAAGCAGATATGAAGACATAAGACATCTGAAAACATAAGGATTTAAGATTTCTTAGGGCTCATTTAATTGAACATTATCTATTATTATTACTTAAGAATATCAACAATACATATGAAGTTAAGAATGATGAACAAAGTATTAACAAGAAAACAAAGACTGAAAAAAGGGCTACATCAAGGTTATTCCTTACACTTCCGCGTTTGGATAGATTTAAAAACTCATGCAAATGGACTTTGTATAACTATCATTCAACCCCAATCGGAACAACAGATATGAGGTTTATGGAGATAAAACTGGATGAACACTGCAAGAAAGGGTTAACTCGGACTCATCCATTTAAAGTCCGGGTTCGGGAAGGTTTAAGCGTTCATTCGAGTAAACACCAGATATGAAGTTTAAAGGGATAACCCTGAATGGACCCTAAAAATCAGGGTTAACTCAGGGTTGACCCTTTAACTTCCGGGTTCGGGAAGGGTTGAGGGTTCATTCTATTTAACATCATCTCCCTAACTTAGAACCCGAATATGAACACCAGATATGAAGTTTAAAGGGATAACCCTGGATAAATCCTAAAAATCAGGGTTAAGTCAGGGTTGACCCTTTAACTTCCGGGTTCGGGAAGGGTTGAGGGTTCATTCAATTAACCATCATGTAGTTATCTTAAAACCCGAATATAAACACCAGATATGAAGTTTAAAGGGATAACCCTGAATGGATCCTAAAAATAAGGGTTAACTCAGGGTTGACCCTTTAACTTCCGGGTTCGGGAAGGGTTGAGGGTTCATTCTATTTAACATCATCTCCCTAACTTAGAACCCGAATATGAACACCAGATATGAAGTTTAAAGGGATAACCCTGGATAAATCCCAAAAATCAGGGTTAAGTCAGGGTTGACCCTTTAACTTCCGGGTTCGGGAAGGGTTGAGGGTTCATTCAATTAACCATCATGTAGTCATCTTAAAACCCGAATATAAACACCAGATATGAAGTTTAAAGTGATAACCCTGAATGGACCCTAAAAATCAGGGTTAACTCAGGGTTGACCCTTTAACTTCCGGGTTCGGGAAGGGTTGAGGGTTCATTCTATTTAACATCATCTCCCTAACTTAGAACCCGAATATGAACACCAGATATGAAGTTTAAAGGGATAACCCTGGATAAATCCTAAAAATCAGGGTTAGGGTTAGGGTCAGGGTCAGGGTTAGGGTCAGGGTTAGGGTTAGGATTAGGGTCAGGGTCAGGATTAGGGTCAGGGTTAGGGTTAGGTTTAGGGTTAGGGTCAGGGTCAGGGTTAGGGTTAGGGTCAGGGTTAGGGTTAGGTTCAGGGTTAGGGTTAGGGTTAGGGTTAGGGTTAGGGTATAGGGGGTTTTACGAAGATTGCTCCGGAGCCATCTCGTCAATGTCACTTTCTGTCACGTGATTTCAGTAGGCGTGGTTATTGATTTTTTAATTTAAATACTTTGTGTAGCGAAACTATTAAAGTTTATTTCGTCATTTCCATCATACACTTTGGCTCAGTAGGCAGAACAGCGGACTTCAGATTAAGGTGTGCCGGGTTCGATTCCCGATGGGATCGTTCATTTTATAGCTCTTTTTATTTTTTTCTTAAGATGAAAGTCGCTGATTAATTACAGATCTTTTCGAGTCAAATATTAGTAAATTTGAGATTTTATACCCTTTTGTCCAAAGCTTGCTTCGAAATCATTTGTTTGGATATATAGAGAGATTATTGAAATCACAAGGAAGGAAGTGTTACAATAAAAAAAATAATAATTTCATTTCGTATAACAAGAATAATTCTCTGCCGCTCCCTAACCCCTCTTTTCTATCATGCAGTTTGGTACAACTCTTACTCTAAAGAATGTTTATTAGCATATTGATGCAGCTTTTACTCTTTGTTAGGGGTAGGCTAATGGGGCTTTTATTGTAACTCAGTTGCATCTTGTCAATGCCAAAAAAAATCACGTGATAATTGTAGGTCCAGTTTTACTGAGAGATATTTTACCATAGAGAGTTCTAGAACCTTTACGTCAGTTCTATTTTTATTGTCACGTGCATACTTGTAGGTTTGAGCCGCCATTTTACTAAACGAGACAGTAGGAAGATGTCAAAGAAAGTCGAAGAACCCGGTAAGTGGAATAGAGGAAAATGAATCTTTTTTTAATGCTGGAGATTAAAATATTTTCTTAGAATGAGAACAAACTTCAATATGTGGTTGAAAAATGACCGATTTAATAAGAAATAAAGTAGTTTTAACGATCATCAAAATTAGAGATATAAATAAGAGAAAATGACTTAAGTTGAAGATATAAGTAATACCATATTGAAAGGGTCACAGTGAAGACCCTGATCTGAAGTGTAAAAATTGCGTAATGAAACATGCAAATAAATAAATATCTTCTCTTGACCCGATAATATGAGTCATGAAATATTGACTTTGTCCATGAGGGGAATTTATTGGAATAGACAATTCTCTTGAAAACTTCTTTACGTCAACTGTATTAAACTGAAAATTAATTCACAAAATATATATATTCCGTGGTAAATTTGTTTTCTTTTAAATCTCAAGTCATACTTTGTATGTGATCTTAGTACCAAACTTAAATCTTTACATAAACCATTATATCAAATTAACCCTAACCCTAACCTTAACCTTAATCTTAACCTCAATCCTAACCTTAATATATTTACCCCTTAAATCTCACTGAAAGAACAGAATAATGTAAGCACATACTGATTACTTCATTAGATTTTCATACAATGATGATCCAAAACAAATAATTTCTTCGCTTAGAAACATGAGTAAGTAATAATTATGAGGAAGATTTCAAGTTAAACTATATTTAATTAATAGATGAATCTCGACTCTCTAAACCTGGAAAAGAGGAGATGAAAGAAAAGCAAGAAAAGAAGATAGAAGGTAGATCAAAACTTATCAACAATTAGTTATCATACTTTATGAATTCTGTTTAATTTCATTCAAAGGACAACAAGCAATGTGGTAGTTGGTAGGATGAGAAAACTCCAATTAGAGTTTTTGATTTGGTTTCGGTTTAAACTTTATGCAATGAAATTAATGTAAAGAATATTGTTTGAACTATATTCATGGTGAAAATATAATTAACTGATTCTCATGCTTGATGAATGATTTCTTCAAAAGAACAAATGAAATTTTCAGATCCTGTCTCATCCACAAGTGGAATGGAGCAAGGAAAAGAAGAGGACTTGAAAGGAAAGCAAGAAAGAAAGATTGAAGGTAGACCAAAGCTTATCAACAATTAGTTATCAAACTATATGAATTCTTTTTATTTCATTCAAAAGACAACAACCAATGTTGTAGGTGGTAGGATGATAAAACTCAAAATTAGAGGTTAAGTTTTGGGTTCAGTTTAAACTAGATGCAATGAAACTAATGTAAATTAAAATTATTGAACTTTATTCATGATGAAAATATAACTGACTGTTTCCCATGCTTGATGAATGGTTTCTTCCAAAGAACAATTGAAATTTTCAGATCCTGTCTCGAGCACAAGTGGAATCTAACAAGGAAAAGAAGAGAACTTGGAATTAAAGCAAGACAGAAAGAATGAAGGTAGACCAAAAATATAAGTTTAATTTCAACAAGCAGTGTTGTAGTTGGTAGGATAATAAAACCTCAAATAAGAGAATTAGGTTTGGTTTTGGAATCAGTTTATCAGCTCACCTGAACTGAAATCTTAAGTGAGCTTTTCTGATCACATCTTGTCCGGCATCCGTCTGTCAGTCTGTATGTCCCTCTGTCTGTCCGTTAGTCTGTAAACTTTTCACATTTTCATCGTCTTCTCAAGAACTTCTGGGCCAATTTCAACAAAACTTGCCACAAAGTATGTTTTAGTTAAGGGGATTCAAATTTGTTCAAATGAAGGGCTATGCCCCCTTCAAAGGGGACATAATTATGAATTAGTAAAAAACAAAGCCATGTTTGGTCATATTTATATGGAATCATCATCAGGTAGTGTATCTTCAAGTTTATAGAAATCATGACCCCCAGGGGAAGGGCGGGGCCACAATGACTGACCATTGTTTTAAAAAGAAATATAGAGGACAATTCTTTAAATAACTTCCCAAGAATAAAAAAGCCATGATTGGTCATATTTATTTGGAAGCATCCTCAGTTAGTGTAGATTCAAGTTCAAATCATGACATGACACCCGGGGCTTGGCAGCGTCCACAATGACCGAGCAAAGTTTCACATTGAAATATGTAGGAAAAATGTATTAAAAACTAAAGAATAGCAAAGCCATGATTGATCATATTTATACGGAAGCATTCTCAGTTAGTGTAGATTCAAATTTGTTTCAACCACCACCCCCGGTGGTTGGGCAGGGCCACACTGGCTGACCAAAGTTTAACATAGAAATATATAATAAAATTCTTTAAATATTTTGTCGAGAATAGCAAAGATGTAATTGGTCATACATATATTTATATGGAAGCATTCTCAGGAAGTTTAGACTCAGGTTTGTGCAAATCATACCCTATCCCTTTTAAGGAATGGTTGGGACTTTTTTGGGTTTAAACTTTTCAATAATTAACTAATTTTTGCTTTTATGCTAGCCACAGTGCTGAGGTGAGCAATGTGGCCCATGGGCCTCTTGTATTAGATGCAATGATATCAATTTTAAAAAAAAAATATTGAACTATATTCATAGTGAAAATGTTATTGACTGATTTTCATGCTTGATGTATGGTTTCTAAGTGGAATGTAAAAAAGTTTTTAAGCTGTTTTTTATTTATCTTAGTATCTCCTTTAAACAGAAAAGATAAAAAGAGAATTAGGACTCTTAGGTATAATTTTTAAAATGTTTTACAGATACGCCAGTGAGACAGAATATATGTATCGAGGATGATGAAATCCCTTCAAGTCAACGATGAAAACACCGATATCGTATGGTCAACGAACCGAAGAAGTTATGAAAACAAAAACATAGCTTTATCAGGAAAAATGGGTTTCAATTAAAATGACGCTGATTGGTTGTTTTAACATGACGTTTTTTTTGACATTTTTTTAAAATAAAGTTAAATCTTGTCTTGAACATGATGCTTTGATTGAACATTAAAGAAATGTTTAATTAATTTTGTTAGAAATTTCATTTGGAATATAGAAAAAAAACTGGAGGTTGATGTTTGTTTGTAAAGACAAAAGTTCCATACTTTGAAGAAATAAATTTGAGCAATCAGTGTATTTAGTTAAGGAATGATTTGTTATTGAACTTGATCAATTTTTCAAAACCTAAATGGGGAGAAATTATGTTGAAATCTAGCAAGATGTTTCTAGATAAATACTATGAAAGCTGATGGTCTAGTTATCAGAATAGGGTGGATTTTTTCCCTCAAAGAAACTTTATTAAAAACTTCCTGAACAATGTAAAATATGTGAGTGATTGATTGAATTTTTCGAAAATTGTTCACTCATATGGAGATGTCACCATTTGCTGGTAGAGAGCAGTATATTCTGTACTATACTCGACACTCAGGACTACTGAGCAGGGAGGGATCTTTTTCGTGCCAGCACCTACTGCGACACGGGACTTCGGTTTATACGGTCTCACCAGAGGAACCGGTGTACATGTCCCACAGTTGGATTCGAACTATCGAGTTCAGGATCAACACCTCACTTCACGATTTATAGAGAAGACGCTCTCAGTCAAATGCTGACTGAAGTTTTTCATATTAATTGTTAGTCCATTATTTATATACTGAATTGACGACAGATTCCCCCCCCCCCATTATTTCCTGATCATGACAACGAGCACACGGCGGTTGTGACCGCTCGGCAGGGGATGCTCACTCCTCCATGGAATCTGATCCCACCTCTGATGTTTCGGAGGTCCGTGTTTCTTCTGCTCTTATTTTGTATATTGTTTAATGGACTTTGAGATTGAATACTGCTCGTTATCTCCATATCCTTCTCTAACATTTCACAACCCGGGCGACTTTAGATATGAGGTTGAGAATATAAAATTATTTTAACCTTTGATTGCAAGACTATGAGTAAAGATAAATCAGCCAAAGAAACAAAGGGGTTGACGTGAAGGTTGTGATAATGCTTAAGGAGTATCCCAAAGAATATCCCCAAAGCTTTTAATTTTATAGATCTCTGTTTCAATCCTTTTAAATGATGGTTTCTGCATTGAAAGGCACACATTAGCTCTTAATAATTTAATAGAATTAGTTTCCTATTTTAACAAAATGGGAAAAAAAATTACATCAAAATTAGATGTTTCTTGTAAAATATTTGCTATAAATCAATGCATCACATGGATACCTAATAAAATATGTAGAGAAAAGTCGAATAGAAATTTTTAGAAATAGAAAAAAAATAATTAAAATAAAACAAATAATTTTTTTTAACTTGTGTTTAAATTCTTAAAACTAGGCACAACTGGAGAAAAACATGTTTGTTAATCATATTTTATAAGAAATGGGCATGAAAGTTTTAAATTTTACAGAAACATATTTTTTTAAAGTTTGGCCATTCCTGATGAAAAATAAACCGATCCCAACCAGAATTGTACATTTATTAGATATAAATAACATTTCTCGAAGAAAACTCGTCTTATTCGGTATAATAGGAGTTTAAAAAAATTGAACTTGACAATCAAATATATTCTTTAATAGTAAATCCATGAAAAAGGCAATAAACTAGTTTTGTAGTTATTATGTTGAAATTTTGATGAGGATCGGTGTAATTTTGATCGGGTTAAATAACAAATTTTAAAAAAAATTATTTTTCCCCCTAAATTTTTGCAATTTCAGTTCAATTTCTCTTTAAAATATGATTGGAAAACATGTTCTCTTAAGTTATGACTAGTTTCATGGTGTTTTTAACCATAGGTTTAAAAATATTTCACAAATGATGAAATTCAATTGCATAAATAATTGGTATAAAATTAATTTAAAAAGTCTTTGCAGCATTTCTTTGCATATTTTATTAGACATTTATATGATGCATTCATTTACAGCAAACTTTTAAGTAGAAAACATCTGATTTGGATATAAATACTTTTTTCTTTATTTTTCTTTAAAAATATACAAAAGAAAAAATCAGAGCTAATATCGGCCTTTTAATGCCTCATACCATTCTCTAAAAAGGATGCCACAAAGATCTATAAAATAAAGAGTTGGCCTGGCATTCCACTTTAACATTTGTTCTTAATCTTAAACTAAATATTATATGTAATCCGAATTCAAACCTTAATTTGAATCTTAACCTAGAAGTAAACCTTCACTTTTACGTCAATCTTAATCTTCAAACCTCAAATAAACCTCAAGCTTATCCTTAATCTATCTCTTAACCATAAACTAAACTTTAACCATAACTTAAACCTAAATCACAACCTTAATTTATCATCAATTTAATTCAAACATATTTTTACTCTTTAACCCATCCTTAACTCTAATCTGAATCTTAATCTTAACCATAACATTAAATTCAATCTTAAACCTAACCTGAATCTGAAACCTAATGGATACCTTGATAGTAAACCTTAGCTTGATTCTTATGTTAACCCTACCTTTAATTGTAAACATAACCTTAACTATAATCTTAAACCTTACCTTAACTTTAAACTAAACCCGAACTTTATTTACAAAATAAACCATGACGTTTAACCCTGAAGTAGACCTTCACCCTAACTTTTGCAATAAACTTTACTTTCCCTTTTTTTCAAACCTTAATTTTAATTTTAATCTTAGCCTTACACTAACCCTTAATCTAACCTATGAACTCAACCTTATGACAATAGTTTTTTTTTTTTAAATTAGAGGTTACCAAACACCGCCGAATTATCTGCCCCTAAAATTTATTTAAATCATTTGTCCATACTTTCCGAGCAAATCATTTTTTGTCTTTTACACACACGATAGTCCATGCATTGGTCTTACAAATTCAACTACTAGATTACTTTTCAAAAATGAAGATTTGTTTGATTAGTTACCATATCAAGATTCCACTCTGAAACAAGAACTAAAATTTAATCTAAATCTTCAACCCATCATTAACTTTTAAACCTTCCTTTAATATCAATCTTTAACCCTAACCTTAACCTTTATCTTCAAACCTAACCTTAACCTGGTATCTTAAACCTAACCTTGTATCTTAAACTTAACCTGGTATCTTAAACTTAACCTGGTATCTTAAACCTAACCTGGTATCTTAAACCTAACCTGGTATCTTAAACCTAACCTGGTATCTTAAACCTAACCTTAATCTTAAACCTAACCTGGTATCTTAAACTTAACCTGGTATCTTAAACCTAACCTGGTATCTTAAACCTAACTTGGTATCTTAAACCTAACCTGGTATCTTAAACTTAACCTTAATCTTAAACCTAACCTTAATCTTAAACCTAACCTGGTATCTTAAACCTAACCTGGTATCTTAAACCTAACCTGGTATCTTAAACTTAACCTGGTATCTTAAACCTAACCTGGTATCTTAAACCTAACCTTAATCTTAAACCTAACCTGGTATCTTAAACTTAACCTGGTATCTTAAACCTAACCTGGTATCTTAAACCTAACCTGGTATCTTAAACCTAACCTGGTATCTTAAACCTAACCTGGTATCTTAAACTTAACCTGGTATCTTAAACCTAACCTGGTATCTTAAACCTAACCTGGTATCTTTAAGTAAGATATAAAATATTGTTTTCCGGTTTTTGTTAACAAGAAAAGGTAATACTTTGGATATTGATCATTTTACTAGATCTTTTTAGAAAATGGAGGGATATTAGAGTCTTTATTTGATACTTATCGTAAGAAATAAATGTCACTTTTTATTTTTATAGATTCTAAGGATGGCAACAAACGAAGCATCTTTTGAAGAGTCCGAGTATGAGGATGGTAGGTCAATCTTCAAATTTTATTTTAAGGAAAACAAAAAAAAATATGTGCATCTGGGATATTACATGTGTGTATTCTTTTTTTATCACAAAGTATTTTCTAACTTGCAATGTAAAAGCCATTCAAATTAGCAGCATAAATATGTTTCTAATTGTGTTATAGTCTGGTCATTCTATTCTTGCAGAATTTGTAACAGCCTCTGCCTTAGACGGTATTTTACAGAGGGAAATGTCTCGGATGGGACAAATCTTAATTAAGGAGACGAGAAATATCATCCAGGAAGAGATGGAGGGTTTCAGAATGCAGATTAGAAATGCAGTGAGGGAAGTAACGGCAGAAAAGGTACAAGAGATGAAGCAAGAGGTGAAAGCGTTATCAAGAGAAGAATTTGTTAACTGGCAGGAAGGGTTTTTGAAGCGGATGAAGACAGAGATAGACATATCTGAACAGAGGATTAGAGGATGTGTGAACCAGTATGTGGCGGAATGCAATGTGGCCCTGGTTCATCCATCGAATATAAACATAATTTCTGTTGTGGATAACCTCACAAGGGTTAGGGTTAGGGTTAGGGTTAGGGTTAGGGTTAGGGTATAGGGGGTTTTACGAAGATTGCAGGGTTAGGGTTAGGGTTAGGGTTAGGGTTAGGGTTAGGGTTAGGGTTAGGGGTTAGGGTTAGGGTTAGGGTTAGGGTTAGGGTTAGGGTTAGGGTTAGGGTTAGGGTTAGGGTTAGGGTTAGGGTTAGGGTTAGGGTAAGGGCACTTTGACGTGTTGCGGGTGCGGGATTGCGGGACTCCGCCTATTTTATCACGTGATTGTCAATCATTTCATTGTGAAAGTAGGTGTTTTCTTGCAGAATTTCTTTCGATTTGGACGTTTATATACTGTTGTGTTTTTAATGGGTGATTTTTTTGATGTAAGGTAATATTTCATTTGATTTTTTTAATTGCTAATTATCATGTATTGTTTGAGTAAGCAACGGCATCTTTTTTAAGGAAGTAATGCATAATCTTGCCTTAATTTTGCATTAAAAATTTACG